GTTCTATTCTTTAATGGAACACACGAATGGATGTTTAATAATGCGTATGCACATCCTCGTGGAATATATATAATTTAAAATGTTAATTAGCTTATTAATGACCTAGGTTTTTTAGTGTATCACGCTTTATATTTAATATCGTAAAATCAACTAGAAAAATTTTTTCGAAAATTTTGTTGTACAGTATACTCTCGATGTAGCAATCATTTTTATCCAAATAAAAAAGGGACGCTCGTTATGCGTAAACAACGTTATACAAAACACACCTCCAAGGATAAGAAACTTGGAATTTAGAATAGAATAATCCAGGATAGAATAGATAGAATAAATGTGTGATTTTTTTGTTCATTCAAATGGAATTCAAGGTGTTTCCCGTTTAATGTGAGATAGAAGTTTTGATACTTATTTTTGTTTTAATTTTCGCCTCCACTCTGCCGATATGAAATACCCCTAATATTCAACGGAACTTGGATTAAAATCCCCTTGCTATCGGACTCGTCATGGGAGCTTTACGTGGTTTTCCTCTCCATATAACGCAAATGCGGGTTAATTCCATCAGAAAGTCCGCCATGAAGACAAGTTTCTTCCAATGCTTGATATAGGAATTTTCGTGTTTTCTGGGTTGGGTTCGAAATTGCAAGGCTACAAAATTAACATTAATAGTTGTAAACTCAGAATTGGGGCAGTAGTTCACCAACAGTTATAAAAAAAAATAATACTTCATCTAAAAGTTCTTTTGTCTTCTGGGTTGGGTTGAACATCACAAGGCTGGCTATGGAGTTGAAAATTGATTGTCGTAAACTCAAAAAATTGGTCAGCTGTTCAAAGCTGGTAATAAAATAAAATAAAGTAAAAATGATCCATTGGAAGAAACTATATAACTAGGAAAAATCAAATAAAAATAGAAGAACTTCCTCACCTTTGAAATTAAATTGAAAAGAAAATTTAAACACTGAATTCGTTAGTATATTTCCTAGCAAAATATACTCAAAATTAAATTTAAAATTTAATGTTTTTTAAACCATTAGAGATCTGCGGTACAGTAAGCAAAAAAAAAAGACTTGCGACTCCTTAAAATATACAAAGGTGAAAAAACACAATCTCTTAAAATCTTTACTTCAAGCTTTGCAAATAGATATTCTCTTTATCCATTCCCGATAAGCAGTCTAATGGAAGAGAAAGAAAAAAAGCCAAGCATAACAAACATTCCAAAAAGAACAACCTCAAGGGGTGGGGTCTTAAAACAGAACAAATAAAAAGAAAAATATCTTATACACAGTGTATTAACCATCAGAATTTACGACCGAGTTAAGGGTGCGAACTTTAACAAAATATGAGCATTTTCTCAGAAGGAAGCACGTGATAGAAAAAGGGAGGGGGAGGCGAGCAATGACGTAAAAGTCGTGATTTAAGGCGGATTGGGGAGGATCTTAGCAATACTTAAAAGGACTGGCTTCACATCTCCAGGAATCAAACCATTCCCTTGTAACTCACGATTCAAAACTACTTGGAATATACTGGTGCATGCATAGAATACATTTTTTTTTTCAGCATGAATTTATCAATTTTTTTATTATTCCAACGTTTCTTCAACTCTGAAGGAACATAATCGCTTTATTCGAACCCCAGGGTGGACTGTGAAGAACATTAAAGATAGGGTAATGATTCGATTGAATACATTAGAGATGGAATGAAAGATTCGAATGGGATTATGACTGCTGTAGTCAGGCTTAGTTAATGAATTCGATCGTACAATTTAAATTCAAATAATCATGATTTCATTATTATTTGAATGGAATTACCAAGTTATGAATTTTTGATATTTTAAATGCAGTCTGTGTTAATCAAAATGGACAGACTAATCGATTCTTGTAATAAGATTACTTTTCCTTTTCCATTTTAAATCGTGTTCGTTTCACCCCTGGTCGCTAAATTCTTAACAATTTTCTTTTTATTATTATTGCTGCCATTAAACTCAAAGCTCACATCGCTAAGATGAAAATGGTGATTATAGATCTGCAGTTTCTTTTAAAACTGATTAATATTCTCACGCCAGAGAAAACTAAATAAGTTTTAAACAAATGTTTAATAGCCATTACAACTTTTTTTTTCAAAGGAAGCTAATTGAAAACATTCTAGCACAGAAGCAGAATTTTATGCAGTAAAATAAATTTTAATTAATGTTTCTGTATACAGGGTATTCACTAATGACCATCCTTAATGTGTAGTTTTTCGAATTTTTTTTTCAAAAATAAAGACTAAGTACGCACATTTGGAGGACGTGAATTTATATTTAAGAGAGGAAAAAACTAAAATGCTTTCGAAATTCATTAAATAACAAATAATAAAGACAGGTGCACAAAACACCAAAACCTGCTTGATTACCTGTTGAAAGCTGGAGTTCTTCCTCCAGCAATCAAACAGGCTTTAAAAAATTTCTAAAACCATCTTCCTACATTGTAATTTTTTTGATTTCGAAAGCAGTTTTGTTTTTTCCTCGATCAAATGTTAATTTGAGAGAGAATGGGAATTTGTGTGAAAAGAAGACTATGTGTATACTTTACTTTCCTTTTTGACAAGGATTTTAAGGAATATATATATTAAAGTAGATCATTTCGTAACAGCCAGCATGAAAGCGAAAGCACCATGAATAAAAATAGCTAAATTTGTGAAATTTTTTCTTTGTTGCAAAGAATTAGAGGTTTCAGAACAGAAAAATCATTCAATATCCTAAATATAATGCTTGTTTATAGAGTAGAAATAGCTGTATGCTTTTAATTAACACATAATACTGTGCGATAACTACTCCTATTCCTTGCCCGTACGATTCAAAACATAATTCAAAATTCAACAATGGATTCAATCTCCTGAAGGAAATGTAATAATTACTGAAATTGGATATATCTCACAACAAACTCAATCAACATAATTTAAGTAATTTGGTGAGATCAAACTGGGTTATAAACTAAATCTGTGGCAAAAAAATTAGGAAATGATAAAATTGAAGAAAGATTTCTTAGGTCCCTCGGGCTTGTAGGTCAGGAATTTACTTTTAATAAAACTCTAGAGATGTTACATTGTCCGAGTAATAAATTTTAATAGAATTTTTCTGCTAATATCTGAAAAAGAAAATGTCGATTTCGTTTCATTCCCATGTATTTTTCTAGGTTTTTAATCCCATATGCTTTCAATCTATTAACGTAAATACGAAAATAAATAATCTCATGCTATTTTGATCTGTGGATTTATACAAAAAGTGCAAATTAATATATAAAATAAATATTAGAAAGCAAAAAGACTCATGTTTCAGAATGTAGCGGTGGTGATGATTAATCCAATAACAATTTCAGTGACTAAGGAAGCGGATTTTAAATATCAATCTCAAATTCTATTTTTAAATTCTACATCTTAATAAAACCTGCTTCATAAAAACACAACACCGCCATTGTAAATATTCTAAAGCTATCTTCTGATTCAATACCAAAGACCACACACAACCAGACAGACTTTCATGGATGTCCCTTTTGTAGACGGCTATATCTAAACAGAACACATCCGGGCAACAAGAATGTTCGACTTTATTGAAGAACAGTACCTAGATCTATAGTTACCCATGAAGACCTCTCCCACATAAGCTTCTTTTTTTACGACTTTCTTATTTATGGGAAGTTTCTTTTGCACTTGAACTCTTCTCTCTACAACTCACTCCAGTTGGATTAAGGGGTCAAGGAGGTCCCTACCCCCCTTCCAATCCATTGCTAACTTTTGGCAAACAGAAACTCACAAGATGGGCGATAATTTACGAGACCTCCAAAGTCATCAGACAATAATTCATTCCCACGTTGTGATTTCGGTTTAGCAATTTGTGATTAGAGCTATAAATTCTTAATCATCTTCGAGCGTAGATTTGACGTAGGAAAGTAAAGAAAAGAAAAAAGAAAGAAACGAGAGACATCTTTATTCATCTGACCTGAATCTTGTCGAGGTGTTGCCAACCATTTTTACTTAATTATAAAAAGGAGATTATCTAAAGCTGATATTAATTCTCTAGACCTTAAATTCTTCTGGAAAGGTGTGTGGATTAATTACGTAAAATGATTTAAGTTGGAAGTTCCATAAAAAAAATGTATAAACTTTGTTATTTATTGCGAATAATCGCTTACCTTCATTAAGACGTTTAAAGTAGTTTATGTTGACAGAAAGGCTTTTTTTGTATTGTTCTTTTGTCATAAGTTAACGCAACTATGTAAATTTGGAGCAAGATGATATGGACTAACGATATCCTCCTTTAACATTTTTTATAAATAGCGCATAGCTAGGACAATTCTTACTACTTGAAAATGAAAAAAAAAGAAAGAAGTGACTCGCTGATTCATTGAATAAGGGAGTCACCGAATCTTTAAAACTGGAATGAGTGATTCAATTTAATTTGAGGCACTGTTCTTGTCGTCTTCTGTGCTGTTTTTCTTTAAAGATTCTTTTAAAAATATGATTGAAATATGATTCTTCTTTTAAAGATTTTAAAAATATGATTTTGATAAAAAGAAATTAAAATGTTTAATGTGACTTTTAAATAATTATACTTTTATCAACGTAATTTGATATACGATTGACGTTAAGAGACTGACTTTCGTTTGTGTTTACTCTTTTTATTATTCTTGTTTTCATGTATTTACTCTTATTGTTCTGATGTTTATAACTGTTTTATCTTTTCTTAAACTGTTTTCATGGCTCCATTATCATGCATGTTCAATGCATGGAGGCCAATGATATAGAATCACGTGCTTTTGCAATGAAATAAATTGCCATACCATTCTCAATAGCTAAAACCAGTTTCAATCTAATATGCAAAATATTGCAAATAATTTAGACAAATACTTTTTTAATTAAAACAAAAAACATATACTTATCGAAAACTAATAAAAAAATATTTTTTACCGATTAAATTTTGCTAGCATTCCATTTTTTTAAAAAAACTTGAGTAATTGCATTATTGAAGAATGGTTTTCAGTTTCAGGTGCAAAATCTTATGGATAAGGGAAAAAAGCTTTTTTCCCCCAAGATAAATAAATTAACATAAATTCCACAAGTGAACCCAACTTATTTTTTATGTGATTTTAATTTGTTTTCAAAGTGATTTTTATTTTTTTTAAAATTAATTTTAATTTTTCATAAACATTTAATTTTTTAAGGAAAGTACAACCGTTGAATTGTTGCTGAAAACGTTGACTGTTATTGTTGTATTCGAGTGCCAAAATTAGCAAAAATCATTTATTTCCATTTAAAGGCAACTTAAGGTAAGATACTTTCTCGAAATTACATAAGAACTAAACTATTTTGAAAGAAAAAAATTTATCTTAATCCATCTATTATACTGACTCATATTTCAGTCACGTCACGTATATGCAGTAAATTGCAAAAGTCTTCGTCCAATATATTATTACTTTAATTTGATAACAAAAAATGCTATGAAAATAATTTCCTATCAAAACTGCCCTATATTGTCAATACAGAAAGGTTTTTGTACGCTTCTTTTAAAAAGATTTCTTAAATAATATGAATAAACAACTAAAATTTGAAGGAAGTTATAAGAATATTCAAGCTAAAATCTGCACGCCACTGAACATTCACAGTATTTAATTCATTACATAACTACAATTTAGTACTTATTTGAAATATTGGAATTCCTTTCTAAGCAAAATTGCAAATATATTATCAAAATAATAATAAATAAATAAATAATTTAACTTTGAAACATAATGTATGGAGTGTCAAAAGATGCAACTCGTAATAAATATCAAAATTCAACCATAATATGATGAAATCAAGTTGATTAAATACTAACTTAAATGGTAAATAAGGTTCAATAATTTCTCAAAAAATTACCCAATTTTTTGTGAAATTACTGAACCTTATTTACCATGTAATTTCACAAAAAATTACATCTTTTTAACAATATAAATATGGCAATGTCATATTTTGGTCACAGATTTTTGCCAGTTAGACCAATTATTATTTTCTCAAATCAAATTCTATTTTGTGATTACGCCTCACTTTGAAAAAAATATCTCGAATGGCTGATAGTAAAAAAGCAATTTAAAAATTCTTCAAAAGAGGATATAATATTACACTTGTCAACGTGAATCCTGTCATTGCTTTCCAGTGTAGTCTAATTTCGCACAGCTGGTAGGCGACAGAAACCACAAAAAATCACAATTAAATCCCATTCTGCACATCCGCAATGCATCTACAAACTAATTATAATCTAACATTGGGTACAAATCTGCAAATAAGGTCCGCAAAGCTAGAAAACTGCTTTGAGCTTGAAGAAATAAAAAAAACAATCTGCAGACTCGAAGTTTTTAAAACATTAGTAAACAAAATATTTCGACGCAGATACTTTATTTTTCTTACAGTATGTGAGTCATAAAACTGAGTTTAATGATTAAAGTGATTGACATTTCATTAAGCCTTATACCAACTCAAAAGACAAGCACTCACCCTTACAAAAAAAAAAAAAAAAAAAACTTNAAATTGTATACAGCTATTGTTTGAAAACCAAAACCTCTGCTTAAACGAAAAAAAAAGGGGGGTATTTTTGGTAAAACTAGGTATTTCGTTTCCTTTTTTTTTTTTTTAAAAAAAAAAAAAAAAAAAAACTTTGAGTATGAGATGAAAACCATATAAATATTCTATGATTAGTCATGATTTGGTTACTTTCAACTGGAGATATTTCATACCGTATTGAAAACCGAATAAATATTCTATGGTTAGTCATGATTTGGTTACTTTCAACTGGAGATATTTCATAATAGCATTATTATCAACGTTTTGTAGTCCAACAGCTATAACCCAGATTTAAATTTCGAACCTGTTTCCAATCTTAGTCGATGGTTGTTTAATTTAGAATCATATCATATATGAGTAAAATTATTTGCATTTTCATTCATATTTTCTTTTTAACAAGAGCTCCCAGTAGACCCAGCAATTTGGTCACTTTTCAAAATAGACTCCAAAATTGCGTTTTTTCCGACAAAATTAAAACCAATCTTCAGCTTTTCTTTTCGAACCATAACAACTATATTGTTAATTCCATTAATTTCTTTCTAAACCAGATTACTTTAAATAATTCTTTATTATCTACAATAATTTTTTATTTTGTTTTCTTGAAAAATATTGCAATAATTTTTTTCCATTCTGATTTTTAACTTAAGTTATCGTTTTAAACGGTTATCAGTTGGTAACGAAACTGTAACTGAATCAAGGTGGAAAAAAAAATCTAAATTTTATTTCTAGTTCAATACGTTTATATTTTATAAACATAGGTCAACACCTCATAGCAAGATATACTTAGCCACATATTAATAAACAATGAACAGCTTAGAAGCCATCTAAGAAAACAACCTTACTACAAAAACCATCATAAATATTAAATTACAAAATATTTCACCATTTTTTTACCCAATTTGCCAAAACTATCGAACCAATTCACTTATTATATACCCATCTTTATTAATATCTCTTTCTGATTTTCCAGGTAGAGAGATGTGCGTGACAATTTGTCGACCAGGGCCCCAAATAAAGGGACCCATACATGTATATCCACACTTTACTGCGGCGTTCGACTAATGTGATTATTATATTGTATTATGCTTCGTTATCGGCCTCCGACAGGAAAAGAACGGCATTTATGAGTTTTCCTAGAATGCAGGTACATGTTTGTATGTATACAGTGCATAAGTTAGTATCATTTAGTCCTTTTATTACAGTGGCTGGTTTTATCTTTTTATTTAATCTCGATAGTGGATCGAATCATGTTTTATCGCGATATGGAGTTTCATTGTTCATATAAATTTCTTTCTTTCTGCAATCTAATTCAAACTAGATTGAGATGGGTGGTGGGTGTATAAATATTGAAGAAATTAATTAAGTCGTCTCTGAAGAACTCGGTGTAAGCACTTGATTTGAGAAGAACTTGAAAAAAATCATATATTTTATTTAATTATGAATATAAAAATAATTAAAATTTTTTGATAACTATTAATTAAACTTCATGTCTTTTCCATTTAAAATATTTGTCTAAGGTCAATTTGTTTTGCTCATTGAGTTATCAAAAGGATTGGTTCAACTTTAAACCTTAATATGTGTACCTTGAACTATAGTGCAAATGTAATTCGCTCCCACCATAATAAGGTGTTAAGTTGAACTATGTCACCATCAAAATGTTAAGACTACGTATGTAATGAATGATAAAACTATGTATCCGTCAAGTTGAACGATAACAAGAATATGAAGCAACGATATTATGGTTCAATCCATAAAATACAATCCAAAAACTTGTTTTGCTCATTATCTAAGGTCAATTTGTTTTGCTCATTGAGTTATCAAAAAGATTGGTTCAACTTTAAACCATAATATGTGTACCTTAAACTATAATGCAATTGTAATTCGCTCTCACCATAATAAGGTGTTAAGTTGAACTATGTCACTTTCAAAATGTTAAGTCTACGTATGTAATGATAAACATATGTATCCGTCAAGTTGAACGATAGTAAGAATATGAAACAATGATATTATGGTTCAATCCATAATATACAATACAAAAACTTAGGAAGGTCGTTCTTTAATAGTTCCTAAATGTGTTTTACTAAATGTGTCCACTTTAATGTTTTATATGTCCTAAATGAGTAATAACTTTCTCAAAAATTAACTCATTAAAACTTGCACTTGTGTGGATCTAAAGTAATATTTTAAACAAGGGGGCAAAGGCCACTAAAGTTGGATGAACCGTTATCGAAATAAATCATATCAAAAAATGGAATTCAAAGAATAAAAAACCAATTTATTCGTTAAATGAAACTAATAAATGTTTTTCTAATGAAAAGCAAACGCTTATCAACTGAAATAATAATTTTTGTTATAATCATTAAACTGTAATGACTTATTTATTTTTTGGTAATCTTAATTCAACACTTTATTTAATTTATGTCCATAACAAATTGATAAATGTTAATTAATTCTTTTTATTAATTTATTTTCATCTCCCGACTCGTAAAGAGTATATTTTAATGACCATTTTTGACAAAGATTTGAAAAATCTGTTCTGATAGTGGATTAAGTGGATAGAAACAATTTAGATTTAATTATTTTTTTCCACCTATACTTGAATTATTCAATATTTGAGCACCTAACATAGAATAATTCTAATGTAAATGTTCAAGTGAGGAGTAAAAAAAAAAATCGAGAACAGTTTTTACAACTGATATGGGAAAAAAAAATAGGAAGAGTAGTACGTACGCACTGATTACACTTCCTCCTCGTTTTTCAATAAATTGGTAAGCAAAAAGAACAGACAGGCTTCGCGTGCCCAACGTTTTGACCTTCAAAATACACCCCCATCCCCTTGAATACCCCCTCTCGATAGCTAGAGGGACACTTGGGGACTCGAGACTAGAAGCTTTATAAAATGTGTGCCAATGTCAATATCGACGTTTTTTTTTCCTCCGTATTTCAAAACTTCAGTTAATTGATTGATTAGCACAAATATTTTTTATTTTGCGAAAATATATATAAAGAAATATTTTTTAAAAATGCTGCTAATCGAATTTTGTTAATTATAAATCAATATGTATTATAAATGAATTTATGTTTATATATTTAAAAAATATATATGTTTTTTATAAATACCGATTGCTACTAAAAATTTGAATTGTATTGTACTTGAAATGTATACAAGGCAAGAAATAAATTTAGTAATAGCACACTCAGGTTGTAAATTGCCGCGATCATTTCTCCATCTTCATAATATATTTGAATTATTTTTAGCGCCTAAAATTTTTTTAATTATTTTATGATATTATTGTATATCATGTTATTATTGTATTTTATGATATTGTTTTATTATTTACTTACTTTACTAGCACATGATTATAATACTATTTGAAATGAAATGGTGTTAAAATCAAATCATAAACTATAACTTGTTTCTATTCTTTAATTTACGGGAAAACATGTTTTCTACTAAAAATTCACCACTTTTATGATTTTTAAACAATAAAGAGGGGTTGATTTTTTTTAATTTAAGATAAGTTAAGGTTTTTTTAACATTAAAAACAAATTTTGGAGAAAAAGTTTTTTTATTAAAAAAAAAATATTCGAAATTTTTTAAAAAAATTACTTTTTAAAATTTTATGTTTCAATAGCTCCAAAAATTGTTTTGTATTGAACTTTGAAAATTGATGAATTTCTTTTATTTGTTTCTTACTTTGAAATCTACAGTTACACAATACAGTCAGAAATTTTAAGAGGATGATCTCTTATTGATTCTATTTATTATGACCTCTTTATTTCGTTACAGTGCAACTTTAATTGAAAATTATTAAGGCTGCATTTAATAGAAATTGGCAGCAAATTAAACTAAATAATCGTGCTTCCTAAATTTGATTACACTATTATATGGTTCAGTTCTCTTGAATGGAAACACAGTTAAATTTAATACCTTAAAACTAGCATCGTTGTTGTAAAGATATTATGGTGCAATTTTGCACCGTTTTTTCTGAGCGCACAGCCGATTCAAAAGACCTCAGAAAAATAATTCAACATATTCAATATAAATGTTTCGCAATTCGGGGAATATTTCTTGTTAAATGTACTCACTTGTAGCAAAGCAAAAATTAAGTTATCATGTAAACAAAACAATATTTGGTATAGAGAAGGCACCAAAAATAGCCATGCCCCCTAGAAAAAAAACAGTCACTCTGAGTCCAGGAAGTTAATTTTTTATACCAGACTCTACAAGCACCCACACTTATAACCCCTCGGGAAAATAAGGGGAAAGCAATAATGACGTCATTCAGCACCTCCTGCGACAGTTCTCCCCCACCCTAAACATAACTTATAGAAGGGCGAAAAAAAATCTGTGCTGCCCCCTTCCCCCAATAGTCTAGTTAACGATGTAGTCTAGGGATATATAGTAGCAGTAGTAGCAAGATGCAGAGGCGTGGGTGGGAGGGGTGTCCCTGCACCTCACCCTATGACCCTGACCCTCAGAAATATATATCTATGCAAGAAGATTTGAGGGGGTGGGAGCTTAGGGAGCAACCAAATTTGTTTGGTGGGGGTGAGGATGTAAAAGCAAGTAGAAATATGAAATGAAATATATGTGTTTACGATGTTTAATCTGTTGTATTTACAACTGTTTTCGTTTTTTTAAAATTAATTTTCTCTAAATAGCAATCACGTGAGAATCATGCAAATGTTTAAAATCAATTTCACCATTAGTTTTAATTAAATTTTCATGCTTGAAAGGAATTTTAAAATGTCTTTTTCTGCTTTCAAACTAGAGTTTATTGAATATCTAAGCATTCTCTGTTGATGTAAGCGTTGAGGAAAATAATAAAATTAAATATATTGCATTTTTATCTGATGTTTTATTTAATTTTATTTATTATATTTTAATAATTTAATGTTTTAACGCGCAAAGAGCAATCTCATGTAAAATACAAGTACAGGGTAAAGAATTTTGTATCAAATTACGGAATAAGTACAGGCATTTTGGGTGCATCTTCCGTAAAATCTATTTTTAAGTTAAAATATTATACCGTCACTTTAACAGTAATATTTATTTAATTAGAGTGATTCATTGATTTTACGGTAATTATTACAATTGAAGCGTAACTTTTTACACTGTACTGCTTAATTCATTGTTAAAATTAATACCAACTAGTTTTCCACCCCTTCCCCACCCAATTCTGGTTAAAGTATCAATACTCACTTGACATTCAAAATTGTAATAACAAGTAAAATATCAAAAGTTCAAAGTATTACATTTAATTATTTCAAAATGCTCTGATATTTTTTTAATGAACTTGTCGTTCGCAATATAGAGATTTCTTTTTATATTATAAAGATATGAATCACTTTTAAATTAAACACTGTTGAAAATTAAATTCAAAAAGTCTTCCGATTTGAGGAAAAGGGAAAATTCTAAGCATTGCATTGTTTGTAAAAAATATCATAATTCATAGCATATTTATATCGAATAACAAGAGGTAAAAATGGCAAATGATGCAAAGCTGTATTTAATTCTACAGAGAAAATCTTTTTTTTCTTTTGTAAAATTAAGTTAATATTGCTCATATTACTAACCTGAAATTTTAAATCATACAAAATTGAGAAATAGTTTGAATCTGGAAAATTTTTACCATTAAATTATATGCATTCTTTTTTTCATTTTGACAAAGGTAAAAATATAAATAATAAAAAAGTGACCAATATCGTATTTTTAAATTTTTGTTTTTTATTTTTCTTACAATCCTTAATTAAACTATTTAAATGCATGCATCATTTTAATGATTTTAACGAGCATGAATAACGAACATAAATTTGAACGAACTGCAAAACATAATTTCTCCCCCTTCAGTAAGTTTATGTAAAATGTTTTATTTATTACATTAAATATATGACTGATACAAGAGTTTACCAACATAGTTGAAAAAAAAAAAAACATTAAGCTTTTATCTCTGAGACCATTTTGAATATTATATTGCATGTCATTGCAGATTTTGGAATCATCTGCCCTTCATAAGCGAAAATACCTCAAGTAACAACACCAAAATATTTAAAAAGATTTTTTTAAATGAATATAATTTTTTGAATAAGTCATACGGAATTTTCAAGTAGTTTCCTTTTTTTTCTTTTTTTTTCCGATAACCAGAGAGTGTTTTATTTACATAATGTTATGAAATGTCTATAGAAAGTGTCTTGCGTAAACTTTTACGTAATTTTTGGGAAAAAAGTACGTTTTTCTTTTTTTCCTTCTATAATTTGATCAGAAATTTTATAAAGTGTATTCTTTGCGTTTTGCTTTAGCAGTAAAAAGTGCGTGTTGCAAACCCCTAAATGTTCTCAATAGCATTCGTACATAAGCCTCTTTCTGGTTGTTTGATATTTAACCAGCTTTTTAATCTCATTTTGCAAAAACACAATTGCTAAAAATTAATAATTCTGGACAATGAATCCATAGACATTACAACGTCTTCATACCACCTTTCCTTAAATTAGATGAATTAAATAAAAGAAATAATAATAACTAAGGAGATAAAACAATTTAATAATAACAATAAGAAACAATAATTTTCTGTGACTAAAATAATAATTATATTCAAACAATTATTATAATAAAAATGATCTTTGTCAGAATTTTATATTATGTTGAAAAAATAGTGTAGTTTAAGAACTAGAGCAGCACCTCCGCCTCTCAAATCACAAAATATCTTGGTTATACATTGTTATAAATGGATAGAATATTCAAAAAAGCAAATAAATAAATAAGAGAAAAGTAAAACATGTCTACATTTTCTTTATACTTAAAAAAGAAATATATTCAAATTTTTTCAGTAGATTTTTAGTATAGTTTTTCAGTATTCACTAACAATAAAAATAATAATTAAGGACAATGAATCCGTAGATATTTTACAATATCTTCATACCACCTTTCCTTAAATTAGATGAATTAAGTAAAAGAAATAGTAATAAATAAGGAGATAAAAAATTTCAATAATAAACAATGGGAGGAAATAATTTTGTATGATTAAAATAATAATTATTCTCAACCAATTATTATAATAAAAAATTATCTTTGTCAGAATTTTATATTATGTGGAAGAAAAAATAGTGTAGTTTAAGAACTAGAGCAGCACCTCCCCATCTCAAATTAAAATATAACTCGGTTATGCATTGTTATAAACGGATAGAATATTTAAAAAAAATAAAGAAATAAATAGGAAAAAAGTAAAACACATCTACATTTACTTCATACATAAAAAAGAAATATATTTATACAGTTTTTCAGTAGTTTTTTAGTATAGTTTTTCAGCATTCACTAATACTAAAAATTAATAATCAAGGACAATGAATCCATAGTCATTTTACAGTATCTTCATACCACCTTTCCTTAAATTAGATGAATTAAGTAAAAGAAATAATAATAAGTAAGGAGATAAAGAATTTCAATAATAACAATAAGAAGCATTAATTTTATATTCAAACAATAAGTATAATATAAAATTATCTATGTTATAATTTTATATTATGTGGAAAAAGTAGTGTAGTTTAAGAAAAAGAGCAGCACCTCACCCCTCTCGTGTTACAAAATTACTTGGTTATGCATTGTAATAAACGGATAGAATATTAAAAAAGTAGATAAATAGGAAAAAAAGTAAAACATATCTACATTTACTTTATTCTCAAAAAAGAAAGATATTTATATAGTTTTTCTGTAGATCAAAAATTCTACACAACAGAGATTCGTCGAAGTCGGATCATAAAAATTTACGACTATGTAAGAGGAAATACCTATGACCAAAAAAAAAAAATTTTTTTTTGTTCTTTTTATTTATTCTTTTCTTTCGTTTTTAGACAGAAGAAAACCAATAAAGTTGGTAAGAAATTCTCCAACACAATCAAAGCACAAGCAGTAATAAATAACCCAATCAATAACTGGTTGAAGTTAAAGTAAAATTCCGCAGCCAGAGAAAAATTTTTGAAATGTTATTTTGGGAAATACAATGTATCAGATAAATAAAGTTAAAGAGTAAATGTTTCTAAAATGTTATTTAATTTTTAAAAATAAAAACTAAGCCAAGATCTTTTATTTTTATACTGAAAAATATTTTCTTAAAATATTAAAATGTTGTAGAATTACATATTAAATTTGCTAAATTGCACACGTTTTGCGAAAGATTTTCCTCTTGTGATGGGAGAAAAAATTAAAGCTTAAGCAAATAAAACTATTTTTAATTTTGCCATAGGTTAAAATCATTGTCATGTGATTATTGCACATCTTATATGACATGGTAAAATCATTTTACATAAAACTTATTAGGCAAGGGAATAAAATCTAGTTTTTCAGCTAACTTATCTTTGTCCTATTATGAAAAAAAAATATTCTTAATATTAAATTTGTTTTTAGATTTATGGAACTATCTTTAATTTTCAAAAAAAAAATTTTAAAAAAATGGATATCCAATTAATGTAATTCAATTCTATATAAAATCATTGAATTAATTGTATGTTGGAATTAATAAATATTTTTTTAAATTTTGTGTTAGCTAAATTTATATTTTTGCAAAGTGCAAATCCATTAGGACCAATCCATCGCTAAAAATCTTGCAATATAAAAAAAAAAAAATTCTTTTTTTTCAATAACTGCTACATATTTCTCTAAAATCATCAATATTAAAAATTTTTAATTGAAATTAAATCCTATTAATTATAAACTTTGAATTATCCAGTATAATATTATTACCTTGCACACATCCAGTTTCAGGCCAATCTAAAGTAACTAACAAATCAAATGCGCTTCTGTACTTCAGTAAGAACGCTAAATAAAATAATCCTACAATCCTCTATTTATGCTTCAATTTTCGTATATTGAAATCTGATAAACTAGTTATGAAAATATTTTAATTTATTTCTGAAAGATGCCGGTAAGTGCAAGTACATTTGAATTCGGTACTCGTTTTATATATTACAGTTTGTGCTTTATACTGTATTTTCAAGAAATTTTATTTTCTATTTTTTTGCTTAATATGTTTCCCTTTGAATTTTCTGCTATTTCACTACTATTCTATTTCACTTTTTGCTTATTTCATTACTGTAATATATTCTATATTACAGTTGCCAGCTACACGTCCTAAGATAATTTTTTTAATGAGCAATATTATATTATGATGAATCATGTCATAAGCAATATGTTATGTTTTTCACATTTTCATGTTTTTATTTTTCCTTACAGAAAATTCGAGTACAAGCAGAAGAAAAGAACAAATGTGTTTGAAAGAAAACATTACTAAATATATCAGCTGTCCACGAGTTCTGTTAATTTTTTTGTTTTATTTAGAATTTTAGAAATACTGCAGGTTCAAAAATATTTGTAGAATTAGAAAAATGAAACATTTCTGAGCCATGTTATTTTTCTAATTTAAGGAAGCTCCACTTTGTTTTATAGCAAATAAATCAAATAAATGAAAGATTCATACTTAATTCCTTGATTTAATTAAATGATTTAATTAAATGATGGATTTATTTATGATAAACGATTTAGGTAGAATTTCCTATAAGATAAGTCATAAAATTATTAAGACATCTCAGATGTTGTGTTTACAAATTATTTTTCAATCGCTTTTGTACAGTTTAGCATTACATATTTCCATTTGTAATTTTCCTAATGAAACTTTAACTGGAATAACATAATTGAAAACAAAAAAAGTTAAATAATGTTACATTGTTTAACTAAAAAAAATCGAGGCAAATACGTAGGCAAAGATATTGAAGATAATAATTTTAAGGAAAATGATAATTTTCTTTGAATTATCAGTTTCTTTATAATTCTTTACACTTTTAATTATTTCTGAAGATGATACAGTACAATAATTAAAACACAGTATATGGTTAAGGTGATAAAAAAAGTATGTATTTTAGCTTGCCACATTAAAAGGGGAAAAAAAAAGATTCTTCCAAAATCATAATTTTTTCTCTCTGTATTCTTGTATGAAAATAAGTTATATAGTTTAAAAAGTATTATTTAATTGAGCAAAAAAATTTTGTCCATTTAAAATCAAACGTAATATCCGTCACGGTAAATTAAAATAATCAAATTCTACTTTTTGCATGAAATGAAAAGCTGTTCACATTGTTTTTCTCACCAAGAGAAAAAAAATAGCAGTTATTTTTTTATGAAAGCTGAAAAACAATATTTCATTACTATATGTATAGCCTTTATTAACGAAAACAGAGAAATTTTGGAAAACGGAATGAAAAAAATTGAGTCGTGAATAAAATAAAAATTCAGGAATACTAAAAAAGTTATTATTGATTGAAAAGTAAATTAAAGTGTGTACTGTAAATAATGTTTCCGCAAAATTAACTAATTACTGAAGATAGGATTTTATTGAAAAAAAATTTAAGACAATTCTACCCCTAAGGAGTTCTAATTTTTTAAAATTCTATGGCTGTGCACTTTTAGATTGAGTTTTTGTATAATTAAATTGTGAATATTAAGAAAAAATTATTTCTGTATAATGCTATAAAATAAGAGTATGTTTCTGTTAAGAGCCTTAAAAATGGTTATGTGTTGTAGCTTTATTTCCCTTGAATTTCTTAATAAAATATATTTTATTAAATTGAACTTGATGTTCTTATTGTAGTGAATTTTTAATTGCAATCTGTCGTTTAAAGAACACAAAATAATTAAACATTTAAGGTTACTATGATGTGAAATGGTAACCTTAACATTCTCTCTCCAATTAATTTTTTGGAAAATGTTGAAAAATGGAATGTTTTAAATTTAGTTGAACTGATCGCAAATACTTATTCAAATGGTTAAGCATAAATTCAAAAATATGACTATCCAACAGCTTAGCTTCACAAAATCATGTATTCATATTAACTGTAAGAAAATTTAGAGTATAACGTACCGAAAAAAAAAATTCCAGAAATTGAAAAATAAATTACAGTACAGCCCCTATTTACAGCGGTATTGGGTGGCATCCCGGATGACAAAAGTCGCAGGTAATTCCAAAAAACTCAAAAAGTAAGGTGGAAACAATTTAATTTTATACAAAATTTTTTTAAATGTATTCCGACATGAATATATATTAAACATGCAGCAAAATTCGGCTCCTAAATGTCTGAAACAACGAATGTGAAAGAAGCAAATTGTTCATACATACTTCTTAAAAGTGCTCATACATAAAAATGTTTAGACACACTTGGAAAAAAAATTATTAAGCACGTGCTATATAGTTTTAAATCCCTCCGCGGAACTCACGAATAATCAGGGCTCTCATTTCATAAATAGACGTAAGAATCAAACACAGCCGTACATATAAGTTAATTGCTTAATCTGGAATTGATTAAATTTAAACTGTTATTTTCATCAGTAAAAAATGTAAAAACTCAAAAGTAAATTTAACCGAATAAATTTTTTTATACGAAGCTCTAAAGTATCATGAACAATTACGAAATGTTATCATACATTAGAAAACCATATTTTATTGTTAATTTTACAAAAATCATTTCCAAAGTGCTTTAGTGTAAATTACCGAGCTTGTTCTTGTTCTCAAAGATCCAAAAAATACAGTAAATTTATCCTATTCTGGTAGTTATAACCATACTTTTTAATCAGTGTACTTTGTAATGGCGAAATACGATTATTAAAAATATTTTCAGATTAATTGACAAAAATATTCGAAAGTTTATCAGAGTAAAGTAAATTTTTTTACATAATTTTAGTGCTATAAATCTTATTTTCAGCTGTAAAAAAAGTGCTTACAATTATTCATGACTGAAATATATCTGGCCAAAGTTTGGTTAAGAAAGGAAAACAATATAACAAAGCTTAATACTCAACAAGAATAAGCCCGAAAATTTTAGAAGTATATTTGCTACTTTTTGCATGACTTAAATATTAAGTATTTTATAATCATTCCATGCAAAACTAAGTGTAAAAATATATCAGCAATTCTATTTAAGCTCAACCTATTATGCATTAAAAATACACTCTATAAAGAGAAAACAATATTCTTTATGATAATTTATTACTGAATATCCTTTAAAATTGCCGGAAAATCCCCAAAAATTCACTGAAAATACCTTAAATATTCCTTGAAATTCTTACCAATTTAAGTTCAACCTATTATACATTAAAAATACAGTTTAGGGAACCATTCTTATTGATAATCCTTAAATCTCCATAAAAATGCCTGAAAAATTTTAAAAAGCCACTAAAAATACTCTTATTCCAGATCTTAAAATCCCAGTCAATTTAAGTATAACCTATTATGCATTAAAAATAAACTCTAGGGAGAGAACAATATTTTTATTGATATTCACTTCCCAAATATCTTCAAAAATGTCTGAAAAGTCCTTAAAAAGCCTCTAAAAATACCTTAAATATTTCTATGTCCTTAAAATCCTGATTCTTAGTCATGTTCCTGAACTTTCAAACACTTTGAGAGTCCTGAAAGTTTAATGCTTGCGAGAGTGAGTTTTAGCTAGTTATCAACGAATAACAATTTAAGAATGACCCTAATTCGAAACAAAACGTGAAAAGTGACGGGGGTGGTCATAGATTATTTTACACTCACCCAAAGATTATTCGATCTCAAAATAATCCCGGATTATTCCATTCCAGCTGCAGTGTCCCTGCTCACAGCTGGATAAACTCTAGTTTAGATCAAGAAAGAAGAAACAAAATCTCTGCTTTCAGTGACATAGCCATAACAGGACAAAGATATTTCTAAAATTGTTATGTAAGGAAATAGTCTCTTATATTTTATCTTTGTTGTTTAAAAAAAAAAATTGAAAAAAAACAAAAACAAATAAACAGCACTATCATTAACAACCTTGATAGTGATCATTCAAAACTTGAGAAAAATTTCGTTATAGGAAAATAAACTGAATTGATTTGGTATATGCATTTCAGAGAAGTAAAATTTCTGAAGCTTTCGAAAAAATTTCTATGGTTTAGATAAAAAAAATATTAAAATTCGGGATATGTTTCTCAAATTAGGCTCGTTCCTGCCACTTAGAAAAATCTTTTTAAACAACACCCTCATTAAAATATCTGATGGGTATCCAACAAAATATGTGAATAAGATCAGTGTAAAATAATATTCATTTATTATTCTCCTATTAAAGATGAGAACTTGAACGGATATTAAAGATAAAGTTCCGCTAAAAGTTTTCATTTTTGTATAAAATTCAAATATCAATTCAGCTTAAGGTCTTTAATTCGGTTATGATATCATCATTTTAGAAAAACCGTTTTGCATTTATTTTTATATTTTAAATTTTATTTTAAAATTTCGGTATGGACAACAAGCCTTGTTCATGTAATAGTACATCATTCCTGTAGGACTCCTTATATGTTATGATTTCAGAGCCCTTGTTTTTATAATGACAACACAAAGCAAAATTATTTAACGCAATTTTATTTTTGAGAAGTAAAAATTTCGTTGGATCAATTATCTAATTTATAAATTTGAATTTGACAGTAAAATGCTCCTCATGTTTAAAATTTTAGGCATACTGACTCAATACCATTTATTATGAATATTTAATGTTATGTAAAGGAAGTAAGTTTAACTTATAAAAATAATTAAAATTTATAGTGACATAATGTATGAAATCTTATAATAACTCTTAATATATGTAAGGGACAATAAATTTTTTTTGCGTGATAGTTTTTATAAAAGAAAAGTTTTCATTTAAAATGCTTTAAACTTTTTTGTTTCATGAAATAAAAAAGTATATATTTAAACTGTGAATGCGACATTTTTTATACAATTTATTGTTGTTCAAAAGTTTAACATTTAAGAGTGTCTTAAATACTATTCTTTGATGCTCCTTATAAAAAAATATAAATTTTTAATGACATTAAATTTTTTGAAAAATAGTTATAAATTTAAAACTGTTTATAATTAACAAGGTTATGCTAATTAATTTGAGTACTAATATATCAAACCAAAGTATAGTAAACCCATTACTTAATAACCAGTATGATAGTTGAATAACATATATGGAAAACAATTTTCCAAAAAGAAAATTCCTCAAAATTTCGATTTCAAAGTTATTTAACGGATATTAAGGTTATTCTCTAATTTCAAAATTTAGTTTTAATTTCATATGAAACATCTGCCAAATCTTTCAACTGGACTTAAAAAAATTTTAAAATTTACTCTTCCTATTATTTTCTGATATCTATTTTTTTACCGTTCAATTAACTTTTGAAAATCATTAAAAAAAAATTTGTTCTTTAAAGTTGACAGTTGAGCAACTAATTTTGCTCAATTGTTATACTTTCGTAGCTAAGAAAATTCAACGGAAAAAAAAGTTTGTCTATTATCAACTCCCTACT